ACGAAAGCATTATAAACATTATATTGAGATTTTTTTGTTAGATAGTGTCGGTGCTTAAATAATGCAGGTATAATTGGAAGAATTTTTTCGCGCATGTAGTTTATATGCATTGACCAAGTAAGTTTATCATCTACAACCAAACCAAGATATTTGATATGGGTAAACTGTTCAATAGAAACATTGTTTATTTGAATAGATATGTTTTCGGTTATTTTATTTTTTTGCTTAAATATTATATATTTTGTCTTATCACCATTAATTTTTAATTTGTTACAGTACAGCCAGTGCATATATTTCTTTAAATCAGCATTAACTTCAAAGCATAAATTATTTTTGTCACTCCCAGTATAAACCAATACCGTATCGTCGGCAAAGGTAAAATATCTGGCATTTACCCTAGAGTATTTTAAGCTTAAGACATAGAGGGAGTACAACAGGGGACCTAGTACAGATCCCTGAGGCACTCCACTTCTGCTAATCAAAAATTCACTACTATATTTTTTTAGTTTGACATATTGTTGACGATTAATAAGATATGTTTCTATTAAACCATGTATAGCTCCCCTGAAACCCATATTACTTAGCTTTTCCAATAACAAATTAATATCTACAACATCAAATGCTTTCCTTAAGTCAATAAAGACTGCCACCACAAGCTGACTCTTATCTAAAGCCCTAGAGATGAAATCAACAAAATCCACAGTTGCACTTAAGGTATTGCTATTTTTTATAAAGCCATATTGATACTTATCAATTTCTATAAACTTTTCAATAAATGACAGCATCCTCTTTTTCATTATTTTTTCTAATATTTTGGAAAATACACTAAGGACAGAAATTGGTCGGTAATTATTAGGTGACGTTTTTGCTCCTGCTTTGTAAATAGGGCTTATTTTGCTAACCTTGAGTTCATCGGGAAAAATACCACTGGTAAATACTGAATTAATTAGGAGTGTTAATATTGGAGTTATGTATTGCTGTAGGTTTAATATATCCCTAACTGAAATCTGGTCATGCCCCGGAGCAGAGTTGGGTTTAAGTTCTAGTATCACTTCTAGGACTTCAGTCTCATTAGTATATTCCAAGTAGCAACTGTTTCCTATGTTTATTTCATTATTATGTATGTATTTCTGATTTTACCGGTCTATTGAGGGGACTGGGGGGTCAAATGGGGTGTCAAATTGTGGAGTGGAGTCTGTTCTTTCAAGTGAATCTCGAAATTTGGTGAAACAAAATTGTCTTCTGTTTTTTAGAATTTTTTTTGTCGTATTTTTGATTTTACTGGTCTATTGAGGGGTCTGGGGTGTCGAATGGGGTGTCAAATTGTAGAGTGGAGTCAGTTCTTTCAAATAAATCTCGAAATTTGGTGAAACAAAATTGTCTTCGATTTTTAGAATTTTTTTTTGTTGTGTTTCTGATTTTACCAGTCTATTGAGGGGAGTGGGGGGGGTCAAACTGTAGAGTGGAGTCTGTTCTTTCAAATAAATCTCGAAATTCCGTGAAACAAAATTTTCGATTTTTTAGAATTTTTTTTTGTCTATTGAGGGGACTGGGGGGTCGAATGCGGTGTTAAATTGTGGTGTGGAGTCTGTTCTTTAAAATCAGCTTTGACATTCGGTGAAACAAAATTGTCCTGAATTTTTTACATATTATTTTTGTTTTAGTTTGTTGTTATTTTACAGGACTATTAGTTGTTATTTTACTGGAATATATTTTTTCTACAACTGTCAAAAAATGATGATGTTCGCACACTCATGACAGTTTGCGAAGTGACACTTTTTTTCCCAGGTATTGATTTTTTAACGTTCCCATGACGCCGTGCGCGAACTAGCTATTTCGCACACTGGTGCGCGAAATAGCTAGTTCGCACACTGATGTGTCATGGTGACACACACCTGTCAGGAAACCAAAAATAATTGAAACTCACCTACCTTTGAGTGAAAATGCAATTTTGCCTTCGAATGATCGATATTTAAATGCAGTTGTAGAAAAAATATTGTTTGCAACTCGGGCGCGAAATACTTTGGTGATCTCGCTGCGCCTCGTTAAAAAAATCAGATCTCGATCACCAAAGTAGCATTTTGCGCCCTAGATACAAAAATAACTATATTTGTTCATTTTGATTGAAAATACATTCAGATTGTATAATTTCAAGTATTTTTCAATTGTTGCTAAAGCATTTTGAATTAATTTAATTTATTCAAATTGTTGATCTCCGCCCATGGTCGTTCAGCAATCATCTGCACTTTGGCAGCTAACTATTTGTCAGCTAACTTCACACCGCTGATTTATTTCTATTTCAATTCAGGATTTTCGAATTTTCCCAAAAAAAAAAATTATAAAATAAAATAAAGAGATAATGTTGAAAACAACAATTTAATAATTTTTTTAACATGCTACTACACAACAAATGCGAGATTACCATGACCAGAATCAATGACAAGTAACTAGAATTTTTCTAACTTTTCTAAAAATTATACCTACATAGCAAAATGAAGATTACTCACCATTATAAAGCTGGGAGAATGCTACAAAACAAAAATAATTACAAACAAACTTCTTGTGCTACTAATAAATTTCTTACATAAAAAACATCTGGTAGATTCTTCCTTCTAGGCTCAGTTGAAGTAGAAAACCCTTCCGGCATAGAACCAGCACTAGGAGAACAAATATTCATCAAGATGGCGAATTTCTCAGATTCACTTAACAAAGATGATTTTCCAGGGCCTTCGGCAAACTGTTGCGGCGTCAAAGTTAAAAATCGAATTTTTTTAATTGCGTCACGAATACTAGGCTGTCCTGGGTTACGATCCTCTGAAGCATAACCCAATAGCAATCCATCATTTAGTCTAGGTACTTTGATTCCAGATGTTTGATTGTGCCTTTGAGCATATCTATGAATGGCTGAGAACAATTCTAGTTCAGAATTGATATTTAATTCTTCCTGGTCAAAAACAGTTAAGATTGTACTCAATTCGACATCTTCAAAGCTTGTTTCTGTTAAGACTTCTTGGGTTAGATCACATATAATCTATAAAATTATCCAATTAATAATTTATTAATTAAATAGGTATTATTCAATTACTCTCAAACATTTTGTCAATAATTGATTTTCTTCAAATAATTTAGCAAATTCGTATGCCCTGCAAGCGTTTTTTGGATACAAATCTGACCATAAGTAGGTAGTGCATTCTTTAACCAAATGGGGCAGCATATATTTTTTAGCTCCATAACAAAGTTCACAGGCTTGGTCAAACGAAGTTAAATTTATTTTATCCGTATAAATATACCTAAAAACACAGAAAATAAAATAAATCGTTAATCAAATATAAAATCTTACTCAAGCAGAGCCTTAAAAGCATCAGGTTGTACATCCAAAATAGCAATTGGATCCCTAACAGGATCCTTCTCAGCCATGCCCCCGAAAAACATAGCTTCAAAAACAGGGCTGGACATAGCCAAAAACAATTTATGACCCTCCAGGATTTGTTGATTGGGCTCAGAGCCCACAATAAATCTGCAATCACTCCATATTCCTGTTTCTAGTAGATATTGACCTCTTTCTTTGACTAATTCTCTAGTGGTTTGCCAGTCGCATGAAGGCGGTGGGGCACTCATAATCTGAAATTAGAAGATTTTCCGCTACATTTTTAACAAGCCTAGATGGGGTTTTGGAGGTTTCTCTTTTCTCTATTTATAGGTACCACCTAGGAAAAAGTTGGTAGTAACCATACAAGGCAAGATATAAATAAACCAACTGTCGGTGGACGGGTGATTAAAAATGCCTTTTAAATAAAATTGTTCCATCAACAAAATTAAATGGACTTTCAATATACAGTTACCTTATTTGAATGCCGTTTATTTGAATAAAGTTTTAATTTATCTTTTATAAACAAACCAACTTTGATAAAATAATTACATTGACTGACAATTGACATGACATGACAATGGACGCATTTTTTTATTCAGCGATGGATCCATCAATGATCAGTCTATCTTTGTCTAGTTCATAGAAAATCGGAATAGCTGTCTGATAATGCTGGCAGCAAAAAATGGATCCTTTACTGAATAAAAGAAAGCGCCTAATTCTAAGAGGTAAAAATGAAGAGTAGCAACATGACTTATGACACAAAAAAAAAAGAATCAATTAATTTACATCTAACTTCATGGCTCATGATTGTTTACAATTTGACTTTTTTGAAATGGTCTAGAAATTCTTTAAAAAAATACTTGTTTGTGTCTGATTAAAATAGTCTTTTCATGACGAAATGTAGTTTAATAAGTTCAAAAAATTAGTTCTCTTGATAAGTCGGTTATTATTCTATAGTCGCAAGGCGATTTCAAGTGTTGACACAGCACAGATTTGTCTAAAAATGCCTTCGCCTACGCGAGTTTGCATTGAGCACTTTTTGGGGTCCTTTTTGGTTATCTCGGTAATGGGCGCTTTAAATTATTATTACAATTTGTCTAGTTTCGGTATTAACGCGTTTATTTTCTCTGTTTCGGGCCTTATGATTTTTACTTTGATATGGATCTCCTTTACTGACCAAGTATTTGAAGTAAGTTCATTAGCATCCAACAGTTTTAAACATTCACATTTTTTAAATCCTTTACCTTCATCCCTTCTTCAAATTGTACAGTGAGTTCATAAAGTCCCGCATAAATTCATTATTTTGAAAACTGTAGAATATTTGAAAAATCGCTCAACACATCAATTTTGTTTTTTTTGTTTGAAATTTTCACAGATTGAAAGGACCACGCACGGATCTTACGAGAAAAAATAAATTTCACGATTGTCATGAAATTGAAATATGTTATGCTTCTCGACCTCCTGAACGTAAGTTCTCGTAGGCCCAAAAAGATCCTATTATTAGTTTCGAAGATACAGGACCAAAAAGAAAAAAAATTAGTACAAGAAAAATCTCCAGAATCTCCTCGTCTATTATACATTAATTTAATTCAGAACCAAAAATGACATATTTTTTGGCATTTTTCGACAAGTTTTCAACTTGGAAAGCTTCAGATGACATTTTTGTATGTTAACCCGGCCCTGTACCTATCTCCGAAACTAATCATAGGATCTTTTTGGGCCTACGAGAACTTACGTTCAGGAGGTCGAGAAGCATAACATATTTCAATTTCGTGACAATCGTGAAATTTATTTATTCTTATAGGATCCGTGCGTGGTCCTTTTAATAATATTTATCATACAGGATGTCTCAAAAATAGTTCCGCTGGTATCAATTTTATTTTTTTAAATGGTAGGTGCCCCCTGTATATTCTGAAGTCTTTGGAAAATTCTAGACATATTTTATGTACAGGGTGGGCTAGAGTTGTGTGTTAAGACCATGATTAAAAATTTCAGTTAAATTTAATCTCCGGTTAAGTTCAAAGTTGGTGTCAAATGATATTTTATCAAAATCTAAGATAGGAATGTAAAATCGGTTTTCCTCTAAAATTAACCGTTCAGGTTCTACAGCCTGTCAAAATTGCAAAAAGTCAATTTTCAACTGTCAATATTTCCAAAACAGTTGAACTTAGGTGTAGGGTATATCACATGAAATCTGCTCAGAATTTTACGTAGAATCCAAATATGCAATTTAATACGGGGTGTTCCATTTAAAATAGTGATGTTGCCACTAGTTTGGAGTAGAAGCGGCAACACCGCATGGTCAAAAATATTTTTAAAGTGTAGATCATCATCAAATTTTCAAAATGATTCGCTTTTTAGTTCTCCATAAACGTCTAATACGCCATCCACCGTGGGACACCCTGTATAAGATCTAGGTTTTCTCGATGGAAAATGTACCTATAGATAGTAATTTGATTTGAAGTGAAAAATATGTAGTAGGTACCTATATTTTGAATTAAAATATTGTGCTTGTAGGAAAAACCTATTTCAAAAACCCGGTGGGTTTTTGTTGAGTTCTCATATAATTTGGAATATCAAAGAGTCAAAGATCTTACAACACAAAAACCCTACAAAAGCATAACTCTCGCAAAAACCCAAAAAAACAATAGAAATTTTCAAAAACCCGGGCTTTTGCCAACCCTGTGCGATAAATGGTTGTTTAGGTAAAAAATCCTGACAATATATTATAATCCTTGAACGTATAGTATAGTATATAGGTAGACATACTTAATTGTTTGTTTCATGAAATATTTCCAAAATTACCAAAATAATTGAAAAATTACCAGTAAATTACCACTGAGAAAGATCAAATGAAAATTACTGGTAAACTTCAATCTCTAGGGTGGGCCAATTTGGACACTTTCTTATGGAAACACCCTTTATTTTTAGAGATAGAAAAAAATGAACCTGCCACTCTGAGGCACAAATTTCATGAAATTTTGAACGGTGCAAACCGCTTTTTGATATCTTCAACCGTTTAGCCGCTATAGGGCGATTCTCGATTTTGAGCAATATTGTGAACCCTTCATAACTTTTTTGTTTATGAACATAATTGATTACCGTAAAAACTTTCTGGAAGCACTTTTTAAAACAGAATTCAGGCACGTTCTCAGTTTTTTTCTATTTGGCGCCGATTTTGAGATATTGACCAAAGTCTGATTTTTTCCAATGGGACACCCTTTATATTAATAGCTCATTGCAAAGCTATGATTTTTCTGATTTATAAAGTTCGATAGGTGTATCTCTAACCGTTTTCGAGAGAAAAAATAAATTCAGTTTTTCTCATAAGAAGCAATGTGTTAAATCAAATCAAATCAAATCAAAATAAGTTTTATTATCTTATAAGACAATAGTCTTGTTGACAAAGCATATACATTATAAACAAAAATCATCAATTATCAAAATTAAAATTTAAAAATAAAAAATCAGGACTAACAAACAAAATGGTGAATAGAGCTGTAAAACTTAAACCTAATGTGTAAATTATAAAATACTGAACAAAACAAAAATACATGACTAGGTTTTAACAATATATAAACAATTAAATAAAATACAAAAAACAAAATATGCAGAATGCTAAATGTCAATTAAAATCATTATAAAATTCGTCCACACTATAATAGGCCTTACCAACTAAAATCTGCCGAACTCCTTTTTAAATTGTTTCATTGTAGGAAGCATCTTCACCTCAATGGGTAAGTAATTATACAGTTTGATACTTTCATATATAACCGATTTTTTGGTTAAAGTCGATGTAGGAATGGGCAATGGCAAATTGAGGTACTGTCGCGTATTGTAGTTTGAACTGCGGGGTGAAAAGCTCTGACGGTTTTTGTAGACAATACACACGGTTTCTAAAATAAACAGACTGTAGAGAGTCAGGATTTGTTGGTCCAAGAACAGAGGTTTGCACGAATCTCTCGGCCTTGCACGACATATATATCTTACTGCTCGCTTTTGTAAAACAAACAATGTATTTAGAAGATGTAAGTTTGACATACCCCAGAAGCATATACCATATCTAAGACGTGACTCAATAAGTGCGTAATAGATGGTCCGTCCCATTGAGGGGCCCAGTTCATTAACGGTAACTCTAACTGCATAGCACCCTGATGCTATTTTTCTGCCCAGACCAACAATATGCGACTCAAACCTTAGTTCCCTGTCAATAACAAGTCCAAGAAACTTGGTATCAGGGCGACTTTTAATAATAGTATCCCCAATAAGCAAGTCCTCCAAGTCACACTTAAAGCTAACAATATTTGTTTTGTCAAAGTTCAGAACCAAAAGGTTGGAGTCACACCAAACTTTAATTTTCTCGAGGTCACCAGAAATAGACAGTGTTGCCACAGGTGGCCCCATATGGCCAGATCTGGCCCTTTCTAAGACGGAGTGGCCCGTTGGCCACTCTTTTCCGAATCTGGCCCGTTTCTCCATAACAAGCCAAATCAGTATTTTTTTATGCAAAATAAGCGTTTTTGGGCGTGGCACCCGAAAAAAGATTCTGCCTCCGGAGGCGCCTGCGGCGGGCTTTCTCTCTTCTTTTTCATTTGTGGAGGGTTTGCCCGAAAATCTTAAATCTGGTCCCTTTTAAATTCATAGTCTGGCACGAAATTTTCAGAGCCTGTGGCAACACTGGAAATAGACCTCTTTAAAGAGGCTGAATCGCGACCGTGCCATAAGACAGTTGTGTCATCCGCGAAAAGGGTAAATTTGCCATCAATTTTCAGGCTTGCCAGATCGTTGATGAATAACAGGAATAAAAGAGGACCCAAAACAAAACCCTGAGGCACCCCCCAGTCAATACCCCGACTCATCGAAGATCTAGACCCCATAAAAACTCTCTGTTGGCGACCAGTCAAATAAGACTCCAACCACAAGACTGCCACACCTCTAAACCCATAGTGATAGAGCTTACGCAGCAGAATTTCGTGACAGTCAAAAACCTTAGACAAGCCACAAAACACTGCCGCGGCCACCCCACCCCCCATTGAGCCGAGAATACAACTCCTCCAACACCCTAAACATTGCATCCTCAGTGCTTCGTTTTTCCTGAAAGCCAAACTGCTCACTACTTAAAATATTATTTACAGCTATAAATGATGTCACTCTGGTTTTCACTAATTTCTCAATAATTTTTGATAGGGTGGTGGACAACAAAGAAATAGGGCGATAATTTGAGGGTTCCTCTAAGTCACCTCCTTTATGAAGAGGAATCACCTTAGCGGATTTCAAACAAGAAGAAAAAGTTCCGGACTCCCAAGAAGCATTAATTGCCCACGCTAGAATTTCCAGCACCTTATTTGGCAGATGAGAAAATATTTTGACAGAAAGCCCGTCCTCCCCTGCCGAGTTTTTATTCTTAATGCAGGAAATCGCTTCCCTTAGTTCAAAACGGTTAGTGGGCAGAAAAAAGAAAGAATTTTGCACTGATGCCTGCGTAAGATAATCAAGGGGATCCCTAGATGGAACAATATCCTCCGTGAGTTTTTTGGCTATCGTGCAATAAAAAGTATTAATTGTGTCTGGGGATAATTCAGATTCACAGACAGTTTGGCGAAATTTATTACTTTGGCAAATGTCATCTACTACCAACCAGCTTTCCTTTTGCTTATTTGGCGCTCTGCGCATACGATCAGAATAATAGGCATTTTTTGCTTCCTTCAATAGTTTTCTGTAAAGTGCTCGATATCTATTGAAGTAACTATGAAAATTCTGGTTTTCAGTATACTTCCTTATCATATGCAAAGAGCGCAGGTTCGCTGACGATGTTTTTAGGCCTTCCGTAAACCATGGTCTCTTATTTTTTTTCCTAATTTTTTGAAAGGGAAAGGATCTATTAAATACTCTTAACAATATTTCATAATAGGTTTGAATAGGATCCTGAGAGCTAAGAACAGTATCCCACGAAGCAATAGCACTCAATTGGTAAAACCTATCATAATTATTTCTGCTAAAAACCCTACCATACCTATACCTAAGTGCAGACTGCACTGTACACTTTAAGAAATTACATATTACTGCATTATGATCTGATAAACCAGCTTCAACAACAGAACAATCAACACTATTACAATCAAAATTAGAACAAACATAATCAATCAATGTAGAAGAGTACTGCGTGACTCGTGTTGGACATTTTACATG